TTTTGCAATAGTCTTGCGCCACCCTTGCACAAAACGACGATCATTTTTCTAATTTCATAAACAACAGAAGACTGTATTTTTTCTACATAACCCCCTCCACCCCTGACTTTAATGCTGGATCCGCCCCTGCCTATAGGGAGCAATAAAGGAGACCACACACGGAAATCGTGATTCCAAAGGTGGCAATGGACGTGAAAAATATTCAAATGGCAATCATTTATTTTTTGGGCAAAAAACTAGGTTTGTTTATTCGTCGTCGCGCACACATTTTGCAATATTCAGCAGCTCTTGTGGACACTGCACCTGGTAGAAAGTGACGGCAGGGTTGGCAACGCCCTCCATGTAGTCCCAACGCCAGGTGCACCCTTCGCGCAAGTCTTCAGGCAATTGGGAGCACTCCTCTCGTGTAGCAACTCCTCCGTATCTGTTGTTAAACAATGGTATCAGTGTTTGGGAGAAAAAGGGCCAGACACTTACTGTTCACCCCAGCCACTCTCTGGATCGGCGCCCCATTGCTTGTAACAGCCGTAGGGGTAGATGCCCACCCCGCCGCCCGGGATTTCGATGTCGAACTGATTGGTCGCCAGAGGTTCACCAGTGTTGGTGATGAGAGCCAGCAGGGACTTGCCTGCCAGGTCGCCTTGGAAGTTCAGCAACACGCAGTGACAACAGTGCGACACATCCACGCCGCCTGCAAAAAAGCAAAAAATGGTAATTTTAGAGCAAAGTACCACTTAACTCAACGATTGTTCGATACCTGTGAAGGAGGCAGCGACGAATCCGTAGGACAATGTGGAATTCACTACCCATGGCTGGTTGTTACTGCATGTGAAAGCCGTTCCTGTACCATCGTCGTCACATCTGAAGGAAAATCAGTTTTCAATTAAGTAAGTGAACAATTTTCCCAAGGAAACTACCTACCCCGACTGCTGATTATCGTCGACAGGAGTGACCCCATCAATGGCGCACGTTTCCACTGCCACAGTTTCATGAGTCTCATAAGACCAGCCGCAAGAAGGTTTACAGCAATCCCAGTAGCGCGTCGTCACGCCATCTCCCGATAATCCGTCAGGAATTGGGATAATTTCCGGCGATGATTGTCCAGCAACTGCAATTTATAATGTTTCTCCTCTGTATGGACAGCAAATTCATAAATTAAATTTAAAAAACCCACCGCTAGTAGCCAAAGCGAGCAAAGCTACGAAAAACTTCATGTTGATGCGGAATTCAACCCGCGAAAATGCGTCTACTTTGGCTCGCCCCTTTATATAGCACGTCGTTTGTTATCCAACTTATATAAAACACTTGGAAAATAATCGAAATTTGTTGGCATTCTTATTAATAACGGCCAATCGATAACGATAAAGGCACTTTACGTAAGTGGCCACTTGCGGTTTAAGGCACAACAACATTGTCTTAACCCAGATGTAATTTATCCTGAACTAAGTAGTAAAAGGACGCAAAATGCTACCGTCAATTTTCCTACTGAATTATATTAACAAAAACTAGGGTGTTCTAGAGGAAATGGTGGATGCGACCAACACTTAGACCTTGACTTCTATTCCCTTCAGGTTCACCCTGTATCTGAAAAGTGCCCGCGAATCGCCCCTTAACGCAAAACTAGAGCCAGCCAAGCTGTTTGAGGAACTGGAGGATCTCTCGCAAAAACTCCAGGACAAAATGGTGAAGGCAACAACAAATGCCAGGCTACGCTGCTCAATCATTTATAATCAAAAATTCTCTGCCCCTTGAACCAACACCGACGTGTAATTGGCAATTTCCACATAATAAGCCGTGAAGGCCACGTCCTTTTCCGTGAAATTCGCACTCCTGTGAGGGCTGGGCAAGTCCAAACAGGCCAGACACTTCAAGTTAATGGCTGCTCTATCGGGGGTGAGTTGCACGTCGCATTGTTTGCACAAAGCGTCCGTGGATGCCAGTTTCTCTCTAGAACGCGCATAAGTAGAAGTGCACTGAACTAGTCTAGATCACTCACTCCTCCTCATGCGCTACTCGAGGCCCAGGTGGGAATTGAGGGCAGCGAACATACGGATCCGCCAGCTTGAGGTCTGCGGGAGGAAACGGGCAGCGGCCGAACTCCGGCTCGTACTCTTTGCGCTCGCGGCAGACCACCTGGAAGTTCAAAACTCACTCAAAATCGCTCTAAGGCTGGCCTGTAATCACCGTGTTTGTATCGTCGGCTGCCACATCGGTGCCCATTTGGTTCTCGTCGCCAAAGGGGAACTGCATGTTGCCCGGAGTCACGTAGTCTCCCTGGTTAAGCGCCATTTTGATCGCCATCAGCAGAAGGCTCCATAATAGCAGCATTGTCCACAGTAAATTTTCCGATTTCTAGGCTGTCAATGTAATCGGGCAGGTGATGGCAGGTTAATTACACTCAGTAGCGTCCAATCTATATTCCTCTAAACAACTACAAAGTCTTCAAAAACATGTTGTATGCTTCGGCACTGCTTTTCGCCACTTCGGTCGCAAACACCCCATCCGGGTCTTTCACCATGGTGACTAGATTGACGTAGTTGGGTTCTTTCGCATTAAACTGATCCCTCTTCAGCTTTACCAGAAACTGATGCCTTTCCCTCATCCGTGATGCCCGGCAGGTCAGAATTTCGGAGTTTTGCAGGATTTGCTCGTGAGAGATGCCCATCACGTTGTGCACATACTCAAAGGACTTCTGTAGCCGGAATTTTCCTGGAAATCCTACGTGAAACGCCTCATAATGCCTTCACGGCGCGCTGAAATTACCTTGCATGAATATGTGAGGTTTGGCAAGGATGATGCTTTTGAGTTCTTCGTCTGCAAAGCCCATTTCCTCTTTCAGCACAAAAGTGTTTTCTGTAATATGCTGCTGTTCGAAGGTGATTAGCTGGGGCTTTTGCACGGCCACGCTGCGCACTTCATTTCCATTCAACTTGAAGTTTTTTTGGAAAAACCCCAACTTATGGTCGATTTCGTGCGTGCTAGAAATGGCAGGGTTAGCCATAGGGTTCCAGTGGCTGGCGCCACACTTACCTATAGCTCAGCCAATACGGGTTCTTGGCAACTATCCTAGCAATCATTTCGTCGTTGAACCGCTTGAACTTTAAATAATTCACTCGCACCTTGAGGTCCTCCAGCTTTTCTTTGAAAATCAGAGGATTTTTCGTTATCAGCTTGCCCACATCCTCAAAAGACACTCCTAGCGAGTTCAAGAACAGCACGTGCTCTCTAAGATCCTCGAATTTAAGTCGCAAAATCAAGGGCACCGCTTCAGAAATTTTCTTCTCAATGTAGTAGAGATTCACCCCCAGCTTGACAAACTCCTGAATCACTTCCGACCGGTTCGCGTAAGCCGCCAGGTTGAAGGTGGGCTTCAAGTAGCTGCCAATATGCGAAATATCTTCAGAAATGGGGTCCAGCACCGACGTTCTCTGCGGGGCTACTTCGAGTTCATTTTCCATGTCGGCATTTTGGCCACTGTCTTTTACACTTGCTAGCTCAGAGGTCGTGGGGCTCCGGGCCGCAATAGTTCTAAGCCCTCTTTGCACACACCATCGCACAGTTTTAAGCATTTTGAACTAATTCATAGAACAAGACTTGAAGACCATGCAAAACAAATACTCAATGTCAAAACCACAGAACATCCCTCAGGGGGGTTATTTTATTGTCAAAACCACAGGTTATCAAACTATTCAAAACAGCCGCAGTAGCCTAAACTTCTTCTTCTTTGATGTTTTCTATGGGATCGCCCTTGCCTAACCTATAAAATGTGCAAGTGTTTGACATTAATTTTCATTAGAAAAATATTTGATCTGCAAGGCTGCTTTGGCCAGTGGATGGTCAATGGTTTTCCCGTAGTTCCGTGTTTATATAGACCAAAAATGCAGGATCCGTTAGAAAATTATCTAAAAACAGCTCGAAATGCGCAACAAGACGAGCCACTGAAAATTAGGTAATAACAACGCACACATTATTAAACAACTGTTAAAGGTTGACTAACAAAAATGAAAGTACCAAGTTTCATAATTGTTTTCAGCCGGATTCGTTGCAAAGCAACTCTTGCATCAAATCCTTTCAATTATTCATGGGGTTTTTGGCTATTTGGTAGGATTTTAATTAGTGGTTTTTACGTGTTTCAGCAAGGAAATGCTGGCGACTGCACAACGCAAGAAAGAGTGCGATAACAGAGCCATGAAAATTATTCACTTTTCCATCGAGGGCAAGCTGAAGCCTGAAGTTTTTACCAGATGTGTAAGTACAATTCAAACGTTTTAATCTCTTGGACTAGCGACCCTATTTATTTGACTCATAACTAATTACCCGTTGTCTCCATGGGCAAAGACAAGTGGTTACAAGAAAATTATTTAATTTAATTTACAACAACACAAAGACCTTTATAACAGTATAACAATTAAGAGAGCAACTAAATTTAAATATTAATTACCACTTAGATAGTTGGGTTATCTCATTAATTTTTCATAGCTTCCTTTCATAAACCAAGCATACTATCAAGACATAGTAGAGGAAAGAGCTGTGGCAAAGCTTTGTGGTTACTCTCTCTGTGGCAAGAGAATTCCAGAAATGCCTAAAAAACAGTACTTTATTTCCACTAAAAGCAACAAAGTGTACGATATTACAGAGAGAAAGGTGAGTGACTGCTTCTAGATGGCATTTGCAACTTCACCATATTTTGTTTGCAGAACTTCTGTAGCAATTTCTGCTACAAAGCAAGCATTCACATCAAAAAACAGATTGACAATAGTCCCTTGTGGCTGAGAAAGTTAGAGGACATTCCCGAATACAAACTACTACCGTCATCAGAAACGTAAATATCAATGGCTTATAGGAATTGGCATACTCCATCATTTAAGATGTATATTGTAGGGGCTTGCCCGGAGATGTGATAGACCAAGGAGTGGTAAAACCAGTGCAATGCGAATTGAACTTCACGTCTGTATCCAGTTTTGCCGAAGCTTCTTTGGGCGATATTAAAAAGAAAGGCCCAGAGTCTGGCAAGACTTCGGGCTTTAAAAAGTCATCCAGATTAAAATCCACTATGCAAACTATCAAGGAGACTGAAGTTGAAGAGGAAATCACAGGTATTGTGCACCTATCTATTTGCATTTCAGCCCTTAAAAAGCTGGGTTTTAGTCGAACACATGAGCAAGACCGAAAAGACGCAAACTCAGAAAAGATCGGTTAAAACCAACAAAATGAACTGTATCGTCAGTTTGCCTTCCATAAAGGAAAATGAGGTGGTTTCATCGCCCATAGAAATCAGTATTAAACATCAGGCAAAAAGAAAACCTACTGATGGCTTTAAATTAATTGACATAGAAGGGGTAATTCGGAATGCAGTCGCAGATTGGATCACTCTAGACACTTGCATGTTCGTTCATGGAGAGGCCAAGGTGAAGAGCGTGTTAAATGAGAAAAAAATGGAGAACTACTTTGAGGACTTACACATCCAAGAATTGCAACGAGAACAGCAGATGAAGTACATGGAAATATGCAGGTGAGCTCAATTATTGAAATTGTTCATCCAACGTTTAAATTATTACTGGTCCAGATTGAAGTAATTCCTCTGTCGCTTGCTTTGGTCTTACTCATGTGAATACATATTCATAACGGATTTGTTTTGTCGAATCCAACGTTTTATATTTGTAAATCTGGTCTCATATTCTTGTTGATTATCTTCGGCTTTTCGATAATCCGTTGTATCACTCTTTCGATATTGTATCAACTGCTTTCAGTATACGATCAGATTCAACACTTTGAACTTTTTATAATTTTTTTGTTTTTCTTTCAGGCGTTTGCAATTTCGAGAGATGGCCGATGAGAAATTTGATAAGGCCTTAGTGGAGGGACATAAATTGAAACCATTGCCGGATTTTAAACAGTTGAAAGAAAACACTATAGACATGAAAATCAAGGTAACAAATCCAATGGTCTCTTTAATGTTTGTTGCCTAAATTGTGGTTTCAGGTGAGATCATTTTATGGTGGAACCATGTATGAGCAAACGGATAATAATTTTCCAAGTCAAACAAACAAGTCAATACAGAATGCGGATCTCGAAGATGGACCGCCGGCCGTTCTGCCTCCGGTTGATGCAAATTCCCAAAAACTTATGCGCAGAAAAATATTTTTAACGTCTGCCAGCAAGGCGTAAGCAGATTTTGGTATCGTAACAACCCATCACTCAATTCTATTTGTTTTGCAGAGTACAGCAACTACTGCAAATCCTTGGAGCTCCTTCGTTCACACCTATAATAGCAGAACTTCAAGCATTGGCAAGAACCTTTGCCTTGAAGGCCAACAACATAACATTCAAGCCTTTAGTGTGGAATTACATTGCTGTGGTGCTGCTAGACTTGTAAGAACGTTTAAAATACTTCGCCGCTGTAATATTGAGCGTGATATTGTTTTTTCAGGCTTTCCGTTAAAGATACGGATTTGCGAGAGATACTGCAGGATTGTAGATCTCAGGAATATATTCGCATGCTTTTTGAAGCTCTGCCGAGTAAGAAAAACTTCGTTCCTAGTGTCCTGAGCAATGTGATAAACGTAGACTTGTTCGTTGAGCAATATATCACTAAGAACAGCTAGTGATACTGATTATATGTGATAATTTTGGTTGTTGAGCTAAGCGAATTAAATTATATGTGACCTGGAGAAATTTATGTTTAACTAATTAGCGATTAAAGGTACTTGAGTTGGAAAGGAAAATGCTATGTATGTGTTTGCTTATGGCAATACATCAACCTTAGAACATATAAATTCACAAAACTTATATAATAATATTTAAGGCTCATAATATGATTGAAATGTTATGTTTTATACGATAAAAATACGTTTTATTTGAAAATCTCACAGGACCAAGAAAGTTAGTAGGTGCCATTTAAAAAAACTGATTTTTTGGCATTTTTAATGATAAATTAATTTGAATAACATTTGAATTTGGCGGTTTAATCAGCAGCCCGCATCGCTGGAACGCGACTGAATGTTGTTTGTCGAAATCGCGAGATTTGCCAATCTAAATAGTTTAATAATCTGTGGCTGTGCCAAAGATAAAGAAGAAGAAGAAGTGTAGACTTTGACTTTGCTGTCCTGACCTGCTACGTGTAAAATGTTGAAAATTCGAATATTTCCATGATTTTTAAGTGATTAAGGAGCAAATCTGTAGAAAATAGTCCGGACAATTAATCTGCGAGTCTGTGACTGGAAATAAAATGCGTCCGCTTAGCAAGATATTATTATTCTGGCTTGTTGTCGGGGCGTTTTCGGATGAACACAATCACATAGTAAGTACCAGATTCAGAGTGGAACAGCACACAAAATCTGCTTCTGGCGCCCTTCTAAACATTTCAACTTTTTAGTATGATACCAATGAAGAAGTGGTATTATGGATGAACACTGTGGGGCCCTACCATAACAGGCAGGAAACATACAACTATTTTTCGCTGCCCTTTTGTGTGGGGTCGAAGGAATCAATCAGCCACTACCATGAAACGCTCAGCGAAGCCCTGCAAGGTGTTGAGCTGGAAATTAGCGGTATTGACATGGACTTCAAAAGTAAGACATTAAGATTGCCCCAGCAATGGCCCTAATCATTAAACCTCGTTTTACCTAAGCTAATGTGGCTAAAACCGAATACTGCGCCGTTCAGCTAGATGAGGCCAAGTACAAGGCCTTCGTATATGCTGTGAAGAACCATTACTGGTACCAAATGTACATCGATGACCTGCCAATTTGGGGTGTAGTGGGAGAAGTCAAAGACAATAACTTTTACATTTGGACTCACAAGAAATTCGAAATCGGTAAGCGGGTTTGGGTGGAAATGAGGCCATATTATAGTCCAGCTGCTTCAAGGGTACAACGGCAAGCAGATCATCGATGTGAACTTAACGTCCGAAGACAAAGTGGAGTTGTCGTCCACTAGGAAGTTGAGTTTTACCTATGAAGTGACTTGGAAGAAGACTGACACCAAGTTTGAAGATCGCTTTGATAAATATTTGGACCACAACTTTTTCCAGCATAGAGTGAGGGCACCACCATAATGCAACTGCTTTAGCTAAATGTTCGCTTTTGCAGATTCACTGGTTCAGCATTTTCAACAGCTTCATGATGGTGATTTTCTTGGTGGGCCTTGTTTCGATGATCCTGATGAGAACCCTTCGCAAAGACTATGCGAGATACAGTAAAGATGACGATGTAGATGACATGGTAAGCCAAAATGTTCTTCGACTGTACGATACGGAAGTGAAAATATTCACCTTTAATTCAGGAAAGGGATCTGGGTGATGAATACGGCTGGAAGCAAGTGCATGGCGATGTGTTTCGACCTGCCTCAAACCCTCTAGTGTTTTCAGCGCTTATTGGTGCCGGCCACCAGTTAACCACCGTAGTTCTGAGCGTTATCATTTTTGCAATTCTCGGCGAGCTCTACACTGAGTAAGACCAAAGAAACCCAACAAAACGGCTGCATATTCAAGATATCGTTTGTTTGGTTTTAGACGCGGTATGTTGCTTTCCACGGCGATTTTCGTTTACGCGGTTACTGGCCCAGTGAACGGATATTTCGGTGGTTCGCTCTATGCTCGAATGGGCGGAAAGCTGTGGATCCGCCAGATGGTGGCGTCGGCCTTTATGGTACCGGTCTTCGTCTGCGGCACTGCCTTTGTTATCAACTTTATCGCCATGTATTATCACGCATCCAGGGCGATTCCGTTCGAAACGATGGTGAGACTGATCTAATGGGATTCTTAGTTGCGCGTTACTGATTTGGGAATTGTGGTTCTACAGGTTGCCGTTATTTGCATTTGCACTTTTGTCATTCTCCCGCTCACTCTCGTTGGAACCGTTTTGGGTAGAAATCTGGCTGGACAACCTGATTATCCTTGCAGGTGAGTTCGGGATGGAGCTTCAACGATAACGGGGAAAAATGAATTGATTTTCAGAATAAATGCTGTGCCAAGGCCGATTCCCGAAAAGAAATGGTTTATGGAGCCGGGAGTCATTATCCTGCTTGGCGGCGTGCTACCTTTTGCCAGCATTTTCATTGAAATGTGAGCGGATTATTCATAATATAATTCAGATCCAGAAGCGAACTTATCTGGCAATTTCCTTGTCACAGGTATTTCATCTTCACGTCTTTCTGGGCCTATAAAATTTACTACGTCTATGGATTCATGCTGCTGGTGTTCGTTATCCTGATCATTGTGACCGTCTGTGTTACAATTGTGTGCACCTATTTTCTGTTGAACGCCGAAGACTATCGCTGGCAATGGACATCGTTCTTGGCAGCCGGATCCACCTCTGCATATGTGTACATCTATGCAATCTACTACTTTTTCTTCAAAACCAAGTAAGTGTTCGCAGCCCAGTTGCTCGAGGAATTCACGAAGTTTTTTCCAGAATGTACGGGCTGTTTCAAACCACCTTCTACTTTGGTTACATGGCGCTCTTCAGCGGCGTTTTGGGTATAATTTGCGGAACTGTGGGCTACATTGGAACAAGCATATTTGTGCGAAAAATATACTCAACAGTGAAAATCGACTGAGCTCATTTGCTTGGGAGTGCAAACCGCAATTTACTGAACGAAATGGTGTTTGCTTGGACAGTACGTTGTTGATTTTTTCCTGGGTTCCGATGCGCCAGTTGCCATTCATATAAGTTCAGTGTATATATTTGTTAATATGTGATCGCGAGACCAGGAGAGTGAGGCGTTGCAATATATTGTCCTTTTTATTTCTAATAAACAGTATTGTTTAACGTCATGTTTGATAATGAATATTTTAGCAGTAACTTAAGAGGTGTTTACATATGGCCAGTACATACAACGTCTAGTTAACTTGATGCCGAACTTTCACCACACGTAAAATATATTAATTTAAAAAAACTGTGTTTTTCATTGTGTGATTTTCTTTATTAATAGAAAAATTGAGAGTGTATTTTCAAATTGCAAACACCACAAAGACTCTCTCGTTCTCTTCGAGTAAAACGACGGTTCTGAATCACTCTGCATATGTATTCTTAAAACTAACTATACATAGAAAGTGGTAAAATGAATACGCGTAAAGCACTGTATATCCACCTTGGACAGTAGCAAAAACTGTCCGAAAAGGGCGTTTCTCAATCCAATTAACTTTTCAGTGGCGAAGTTCTTGGATGTTAAACGAACTCTGAATTACGTCGTATGGTTTGTATGGAATGAACCAAATGTTCAGATCTCAGAATATACAAGTAAATAAAGTATTTGGGACTTAAAGTATTAAGTCCCAAGAGTATAAGAGTTGAAAACAAAATAAAGTTTAGAATATAAAGTTGCCTCCTTAAACCCAGACACATTTTCTCTCTTATCAATGTAGAAACTTAATTACCAAAATAACTTAAACTACAGGCGACATAGATAATTCATCAATGGCGGTCGCATTATTCAATCCCGGGTGCGATTTGTCCATGTGGTTGTTCAGCTGCACTTGCCTGATGAAGCCCTTGCCGCAAATGATGCACTTAAATGGCTTTTCTATAGAATGTGTCAGCAAGTGCCGGTTCAGCACATCTATTCGGCCAAATTTCTTACTGCAAATTTCGCATTGGAACGGCTTCACATTCAAATGTGTAAGTAAGTGTTTGCTCAAATTGTACGGCTGTTGGAAACGTTTCTGGCAAATGGTACACTGGCTGGGCTTTTCGCCAGTGTGCACACGAGTGTGTCGCTCAATGTCGCACAGCTTGTGGAACTCTTTTGAGCACACTTCACATCGAAATCTACAATAAATGCCTGTTACGTTTACCATACGAAAAATGTTTGCTTTTGAATCGTTACCGTTTTTCCGCGGCTGGCAGCTTTTTCAGAACATGAACTTCTTCATGCTTGATTAGTTCGTGTTTGCTGAGAAATCCCTTGTCGCACTTTTTGCAGCTGTAAGGATCTTTACCTGTAAATATTGTATGCTTACTGGTGATTGCATGATAAAATACCGCTATTCTACCTTGGTGGTTCCTGATATGAGCCGTAAAGGTTTCTACGTCATTAAACTTTGCATCGCATTGCTTGCAATCATACGGATTCGACTGTTTTTCGTGGTCGAGCTAAAACAAACCGTAGTTGCTCAGTATCGACCAACTACATTTGGTAAATTCAACCACTTACTCGATGCTTGGTTAGCTTATAATAGGTGGAGAAAACTGAGCAGCATATTTTACATTTATACCATTGAACTCTTCTCTCTTTGTGCTTCAATTTGTATTCCGCATAATCGGCAGGCAGCCACTCACTCCTGCTTTCTTCATCTGACTCTGAAACGTGACAAGTTGTGTGCTGATTATACGGAAATCAGTCAAAAAATACCTGCCATCTCACCTTCTTCTTCAACAGGCTGAAACGTCGATTCTTTTGTGTCTTTTCCCAGATCATCATGATCTAAGGCTCGGTGCTTTCGCATGGCGTAGTAGCTCTTAAAGGTCTTGTGGCAAAACTTGCATTTGTGAACTTGAGCGGTATTCTTCAACACATGTTGCCGTTTATATTCCACATATTCATCAGGAAGCCATTCTTGACGACTATCATCCGATTCATCATCTACAACATGTGGGTCATAAGCAACGTTCTCGTCGGACCCATATAAATAATCCAGAAGTAATTACCGTCTTCCTGGGTATCATCCCAAACGTTATCATCAATTTCTTCAAGTTTTATCGTCTGCTCCGCCTCGTCACTTGCTTCATGGTCCGTCTGAGTCTTGGTTTTTTTGGCCAGTTTTTGTAATTTCTTAGTCTTCACCTGTTCACCGTCGCTCAGTAGATCTTCAAGATTGTCGCAGTTTGAAGATTCATCAGCATCTTCCAAGCCAGGGTAAGGTACGGCCTTAAGTTCCGTATACTAAAACACAATATAAAATTGAAATTACTATAAAATCATCTCAATATAGAGAACTCACCTTTTTTTTCTTAGAAGCTGGCGGTGGATCATCATCGCCATTTACACAGGTAACGCTCAAATTGTCTAGTGAACTGTCGTCCTGGTACTTTTTCGGAATTCTTCTGGTTCGTTTCTCGCGTCCTCCACTTACTGAATATTTGCCGGAGGTGTTTTTGTTTGATTTCTGCTCTTTTGTGTATCGGTTCTTACTTTGAGGCGTTTCTGGGGCATCTTCAAAGTCAGTGGAACTTCCACAGTTGGTCTCCAACAGATCTTTTTGATCGAGCGGTTTTATAAGGAAATTCAATATAGTGGACGGTTTTGATTGTTGTTGTGGTTGGGCTTCCGTTATTTTCTTCACTTGGGGCTTTTCAACAACCTGAGCCTTTTTTCTACTGTACGTCCTCAGAATAAGTGGTCTCTCAACCGCTTCCTTCACCCGTCTAGGCGCTTGTTTCCGTTCAATCTTCGAGATTTCCTTGGAAATATTCTCGATACTCTCCTCTATATCGGATGTGTTCTCATTTACGGTTTCTTCGCCAATTTCTGTAGCTTCCTCTGAATTTTGCTGCACCTGCTCCTCCAGTTCACCATCATCATCATCCGGCTCAGATTTAATTTCAACGTCATTTGCAAGCTTATTGTCGAGGTGTTGTTCTTGCTTGCAAACTTCCTTCTTTGACGAGGAAAGCACAATATCTCCAGAGGGATAACTCCGTTCAAAACTACGCGGAGAAAATATCTCGTACGAAACGTACGGCTTATTCGGCTTATCATAGATTACAATTTCTTTGATAACAGAGGGCACTTCTCGCCCATCTTCCAACAGCGATCCGCTCATGGTAGATGAGTTGGCTTGGGGCTCTATTATAGCCTACCTAACCTATTAAAAACAATTCTTTGTTTACTAAATGAGACTTTGGTGCTTCTGTCACATGTATCAGCCAGCATGGGGCTCCCCTAAATGAGGTATGTTTGAATGATTTTTGAGTTGTAGTCGAATTGAACCAGTTACACTGCAGAACACCAAATGGAGGTCATCACAAGCGGCACATTCTTAGAGACCTTCACATCGTGGAGCACGGGCGTTTGCCTTCGGGGGGTTTTTCACAGAAAAGTTCTCGTCGAAAAAAACACTTAAAGGGGCCGAAAAACTTGTTGAACTTTCCGAAAAACGGCCAACATCCACCATGCTGTCGGGGTGAGTGCTTGTTTCAATGTTTAATGGCGGATAAGTGCGGAATTCTATATAAATGGCGCAGGAACTAACAGACCGGCACGCTCTGATTGGCTGAATCTGCGTACTGTTTGTCAACTGTCAAATCTTCCGCCGTGTATTATTCTACAACCGACAAGATAGGCGCTAAAGATCCGAGCCCGACGTTGCCAGTTGATGATTCGATTTAAAGCAGCTTAAAGCATTTGCTTTAAAAAATTCAAAACAATTTTCTTATAAACCTCCTTAATAAAATGTCGATGACTATGAGTTTTTTGATTATTATGTAATTATTAACATGATTTAAATAATTCGAGATTACTCCATTACCACCATTACGTTACGTTATTACCGCGCTAACCTCGCTTCACTTGGCAATCTACTATGACCATGATACAACATTGAACTATATACCAGAGACTTGTCTCTGTATACTTGTTATACTACTTGTCTCTGTATGTACTAACTGGAACGGCATCGCCCATAAACAGATAATGCTCGGCATGATACAATGAACTTGTCTTTATCTATGACAATGAATACAAACTCGATTTTCGTGCGCACATGACGTCGCTGGTTCTATCATGACTCATGGATCTCAGGTTCTCCGTATGCAAAAACCAGCTGATAGTTGTTGTCAAAGCGTTTAACTAAGCTTTTTAAAAATCCTTGTCCCCGAAACTGGGCACTTGGGGTTTCCTCTATATTACCTATACTCTATATATATATATATATCAATATTTGCAAGAAGTGTATTCAACAACATTAAGTCGGGCTGTAACTGCTCCAAAAATTACAATAATTAAGTTTAATAATAAACTATAAGATCAGTTGTGCACAGTGAAATTTCCTTAGATGGTAGGATGGAGCAAATCTCACCAGAGGTTGAGTCAGTTCGATTTTATGGTAGCTGGTGGAGGTTCTGGCTGTTTTACCAGAGCAACGTGCCAACCTCTAGATGTACTAAAGATAAGGTTTCAATTACAAGTTGAGCCTATATCATATGGTGCGCATACAGCGAAGTACAGGTAATTTATGTAGTAGTAAAACATTGATATTAAAACGTTAGGAATATTCCCATGCGAACATGTCAAGGGTAAAGACTACATTTTGTTTAGGTCTGTGGTTCAAGCAGTGCGGCTTATCCTCAAAGAAGAAGGTGCTAGAGCTTTTTGGAAAGGCCATATACCTGCCCAGTGGTTGTCCATAAGCTACGGTGTGGGTCAATTCTGGAGCTATGAACTATTAGTTAGAAATGTCGATAGATTGAATGTACTGCCTAGTATGACACCACTTGTAAATTTTACATGTGGCTCCATTGCCGGTAAATAACGCAGATCCATTCATAATGCGCACAAAGTCGGAATAAATGTGTTTTTAGGGAGTGTTGCAACGTTGGTGTCGTTCCCATTTGATGTCGTAAGGACAAGGTTTGTAGCTCAAAGTGAAAACAAAAAAGTATATCACAATATCCTTTCAGCAGTGATTCAAATCTGCAGAACTGAAAGTCCTTTAGTATTATTTAGAGGGCTGTGGCCAACAGTATTACAAATTGGTCCACATGCGGGTGCTCAGTTCACATGCTACCGATTATTTGATGATTTATACAAATATGCTCTGAACATTGAATACACTACCTTATCCAGCAGTCTGTTCGCTGGCAGTCTAGCAGGTTTATGTGCCAAGACAATTATTTATCCTTTTGATCTGGTCAAAAAACGAATGCAGATTCAAGGATTTGCTCATGCCAGAGAACATTTTGGCGAACATTTCACTTGCAAGGGTTTGATAGATTGCTTGCAGAAGGTCTATCGTTCTGAAGGACATAAAGGATTCTTTAAAGGTCTTTCGCCGAGTTTGATCAAAGCCATATGCACTACTGCGCTTCACTTTAGCTCCTATGAGATGATTTGCAATTTTATTGTTTTTGTTAAAGAAAATAACTAAGTGATAGTTCTCCGTATACCAAAGAAGGAATTGTATTGCTACCTACAGCTAAGAACTAACGCTATTATATCAGTATTGTTTTTATTGGAATTGTGTTATTAGATCTATACCTATACAGGTATAAAGATATTTACACTTTTTACCAAATGAACTTGAAGACATGTTGAATAGTTTTCCGATCAAGGTCGGATCCAGGGGGGGGAGTCATGACCCCCCCCTGGCATAAACTGCCAACATTTCCCATCCATGGTTCACTTTTTAAAAAGGTCATTTATTTCTGTCTAGAAAGATGTACAAATGAGCATTCTTGCTCATTTTGCCTCCGAGATATGAGCAAAAACGGGACGGAAAACATTAAATGTTGGCATAATCTTGCACCTAAGTGCCTGATATTCAAATTTCGCTTTCTGGGTTAAAACCATAGTCAAAACCACTCGAATTTCCTCACTCACGTTGCTACGACTGAATTCACTTTTCAGTTCTCTATCCAACGATGCCAAAACGAATTCTGTGGCTCGAATGGTTCTTGAGAAACTTCGAAAAAACCAGCGTCATGTTCAAGTGGATTTCGCAACTCAACAAAAAATCACGCAAATCTAAAACTTCCTGAATTCAAGCATTTTTTGCGAAAACTGCCAATAATTCCCCATCCATGGTTCACTTTCTAAAAAGGCCATTTATTTCTGTCTAGAATGATGTACAAATGAGCGTTCTTGCTCATTTTGCCTCCGAGAC